GGAAAAACTGTTGGACCTGATTATATTCCAATAGACATGTGGAAATTCTTAGGAGATAAAGGAATTTCTTGGCTCACTTAACTTTTTAATATTATTTTGAAGACTAAAGTCTAAAATAATGCCAGATGGGTGGAGAATGAGTGTGTTGATTCCTATTTTTAAGAATAAATGTGATGCACAAGATTGTGCGAATTATAGAGCAATTAAGTTAATGTGTCATACTTTAAAACTTTGTGAGAGAGTTATGGAGCACAGGTTACGATGTGATACTAATGTTTCTCAAAATCAATTTGGATTCATGTTGGGTAGGTCTAATATGGAAGCTATACATTTATTGAGAGGTTTGATGGAGAAGTATATTAAGAATAAGGAGGATCTTCATTTGATATTTATTATTTTAGAGAAAGCGGATAAAGTTTCAAGAGAAGTGCTATGGAAAGTTCTAGAAAAGAAAGGAGTTAATAATGCTTATATTCAAGTCATTAGATATATGTATGTAGGTGTTGTTACTTATGTTCAAACACAAGGTGGTTTGACTAAGTATTTTCCTATTTTTGTTGGATTACATCAAGGATCAACCTTAAGCCCATATCTTTTTGCTTTAGTCATGGATGTTCTCACTAGACATTTACAATAGGTTGTACCCTGGTGTATACTTTTTGCTGATGATATTCTTCTTGTTGATAAGACTAAAGAGGGAGTTAAAGGTAAACTCGAATTATGGAGGTCAACTTTAAAGCCTAAATGTTTTCATTTGAGTAGATCTAAAACTGGATATATGAAGTGTAATTTTAGTGGTAATAGATCTAGTTGAGGGTTTGCGACTTTATTTGGGTGATCAATTCATTAATATGAGTACATGTTTTAGATATATTGGGTCTATTGTTCAGAGTGATAATGAAATTGATGGGAATATTTTTAGCATAATTCAAGTTAGATGATTGAAGTGGAGAAATGCATCTGGCTTGTTGTGTGATAGAAAAATGTGACGACTGGTTTGGTCCGGCCTGTTCACTTGAACCGATCGAACCTTATTAATAAAACCTTTCCCTCCCCCGCATAACTACCCCATTTTTTCGCGACAGAGACCGGCTGGGCGGACCGAGAGCATGAGCGGACATCCGTTTTTGCACGAAGAAATTTCATTTTGCTATTTTGAGTGGAAGGTTGTGATTAGGGATGAAATTCAACAACTCCTCTCAACTCCTTTCCTATTTTTATCGCTAAAGAAGCGAAGTTTAGGAAGAAGCGAGAGGAATGACCAAGGGAAGAAGGTTTGCTGAATTGTTATTTTCTTTTTCTTATAAATTTCATCGATTTCTTTATCTAAAAGAGAATGATATTTTCTTAAAAGAAAAAGAAGGGATTTTGAGTAAAAAGGAAGGAATTGAAGACAAGGGGAAGGAAATTAGGAAAGGAAGAAGAATTTGGGGATTTCCATTTGTAAGTAATTTCTCCATGGTATTATGTTAGTTTTTTTTTTTGTAATTAATCTTCTCTTATGAAAGTTAAATTATATGGATTTAGTGAATTAGGGAGGAGGGGATCAAACTATAGGAGTTGAGTTCTTCAAGGAATTCAACAGAGGTTGAGGTTAGAATCACTTAAATAAATGTTAGTGAGAAGTTGATAAAATTTAACTACATGTAACTCACCTCACTGTGTATCTCCTTAAGGTGGTGACGAAATCAAAGAATTGGAAGAGAATATAAAGGGGTAATTATGAAATTTTTTTATTGTATTTTCTAGTTCGTTTCGAAAGAAGCATGCATATAATTGTTTAAAGCTTATGATTTACATATTTTTTAAAACCATTATACGAAGTAAGTAAATGTTTGTACAAGTATGGATATGTGAAAGAAAGAAAACGTACATGTAATAAAAAAGTATATATGAATGAAAGAATGCAAATAAATAAATGTTAAGGAAATGATACAAACATAAATGAATCAAAAGCAAAGGGAAAATGTTATGCATGCAAAATTTTTAGTAGATCACCCCCGTATGGTACTGGCTGGGGAAGCAACGTACTCGTGCACGTAAAATAAAGAAAATGTTATAAAAATGAAAAAGAAAATGGAAATGGTTTTACCTTTTAGTACATTTAGACGGTGCTCCTGTATAATATGAAATAAGAAAAATGAATAATTTTTAAAGTAAATGTTATAAATGAACATGTTATGGTATGAAAAAGGTAAAGAAAGGAATATGATATAATATGTATATGAAATGAAATGAAATAAAGAAAAGAAAAATAACTCGGATGTTAAATTAATGAACATATATCAAAAGTTTTATGTATTATATTTTATGCTTATAAATAAATTTCTTCAGTTACCCACTGAGTTTACTTAGTAAACTCAAACCATAAATTGAAATGTTTTAGGTAAGTCTTCACTGATTTAGAAATGATAGAAAGATAAGAGTTTGTTTATAGAAGACGGCGTGCAAATGACAATAGATAATATAAATTTAATGTTAATATAAATTGGGTGTTAGAGGCTCTTCAGTAAGATAGAGAAAATTTTGCATTGAATTGTTTATAAATTGAATTAATTGTTTTTTTACCGTTTGACTTTTAGTTCCCTCGTTAAATCAAGCATCTGGGCTAGGTCGTGACAAAAATTCCCCCTCAATTTTAAGGGAAAATTCTATAAGATGGTGGTGAAACTTGCAATGCTTTATGGTGTAGATTGTTGGTCATTAGAAGAGAAGCATAATAATAAGTTAAGTGTTGCAGAGATAAGGATGCTCAGGTGGATGAGTAGCTTTACACTTAAAAATAAGATACGAAATGAGCATATACGTGGAAAGGTTGGAGTAGCTTCAGTGGAAGATAAGATTTGGGAGAGTCGCCTTAGATGGTTTGGTCACATGAAATGGCGGTTCTGATGACTCGGTTAGGAAAGTAGATGTATTAGATTTGACTTATGTTAAGAAATGTAGAGGTAGACCTAAAAAGGCTTGCTTATAAAATATTAAAAATGAATTTTCTTTTTTAGATTTAAATGAGAATTTGACTCTTAACAGTACACAATGGAGAAAAAGGATTCATGTAGCCGACTCCACGTAGCGGGATAAAGGCTTGATAATGTTGTATATTATTGTTGTTGTAGTTTTTGTCGACCAAAAACTCTTAATTTCTTTTCAAAAATTTACAAAATTGTTATGCTTACTCAACAACAGAACACAACATAATATTGTAGAACACAACATAATATTGTATAACACAACACAAGCCTTAGTTTACAATAAGAATAATTCTATTTTATAAAAATGGCATTAATAAGGCTTTCTAACGTCATTACGTCCATAACTTATATTTATTTTTACAGAAGTTTGATTTTTTTCTTGCTTTTTTCATAGGGGAAGCTCACGATTCTTGATTTGCTTTGTGTATTCTTATGGGATAAGTCCATTGGAATAATTATGTTTTTAAATCAACTGGATCAAAATTAGGGGTGTAAATGAGTCAAGTTGGGCTTGAGTCACCCCTAACTTGAGCTTAAGCTTGATTAATTAATCGAGCTTGAGCTCGAGCTTTATTTTATGAGTTCGAGCCAGCTCATTTATTATGGAAGAGATAAAATGATTATTATTCAAGTTATTATTATAATAAATTGATAAAAAGAATGATAAATTATAATAATAATAATTGTTGCGGGCTAGAATATACGCGGCGATAGAGTTATAATTCTACGTCTTAGCGTTGCACGGATATCCAGCTCGCACACAAAGAACACAATATTTTTAGTTTCCAACTTGATTTTGCCTCGAGATTCGTGCTTGGTTGAGACTATTTTTGGTGATGTATCAATAATAATAATAATAATAATAATAATAAATCACTTAATATAAGATGGTGAAATATAATTTTTAAACATTTTTAACAATTTTTTACTTAAAATCTTGAATGTTAGTACATTTTAAGTTTGTTTTATATTAACATTTTTAACACAAGCCAGCTCTCGAGCTAATTAGTTGAGTCAAAGGTAGCTCAAGCTTAGCTCGTTAGCTCATCAAGCTCTACTTATGAGTCATTTATCGAGTCAAGCCAGAGTCGGCTCATGAGTTTGCTCGACTCACGTACACTCCTAATTGGAACCCTCCTCTCTCTCTCTCTCTCTCTCTCTCTCTCTTCTCGTCTCTCTCTCTCTTTATGCTCTTCTCTGTCTATTTAATTGAATCCTCTCTAAAGGAGGATAATAGTTCTTTTTTTTTAATTTGATTTTTAAGTCACACTCCATCACTTGCATCTATAATAGTATTCATTAGTTGTGATATAAACTTCATTTTAATAATGATTAATTAGCCATCAAACTTGTATTAAAAATTAGAAAGAAATGATAATGTTACTGAGGCAAACATAGAAGGCTTCTTTTTTCCATGTTTTTACTTATTAGAGTGTCAAATTCTCTAAATGTATATGCATTTATGAATTTAAGTCCTTTGAAAGGCTCTACGTGATGAAAATCATAAATTACTTTTCATGGGATCAAGAACTTCTAGTGGCAAACTTTCATTGCATTCAGATATGGTTACTAAAAAAATCGTCTATAGTTATGTATAATAATGTAATTAGTGTTATTCCTTGTACATGTACCTATAAATGCCTTCTTATGTATAGATAAGATATATACGAGAAAGAGAGCCACTTGCTATTCCTGTTTTCTTATTCAATTGTGTAAGCATATATAATGGATGTATGCAGAGGCAGATATTCGGTATCCTTGTATTTGTATCAATAAAAACATATATTTTTGCATTTTCTGTCTAACTGTGTGCATAATATTTTAGATACAGAAGTATTAAAGTCACTCTCCTTGGGGATATATCTTTATATCTTTACGCATGTATGCATGTATGTATGGATAGAGGTAGGTAGAGGCGGAGAGAGGCTTAGATTGCAGTTACCTTCTCAATCTCATTGGAATATTTATTATTTCACTTACCCATAAATTATGTCTGATCTCTTAAATTAAATTTTTCTTTGTGAACAGAGGAAGATTGTGAATAGACCTCTTGCTGGGACGATCAGAAGGGGAAAGACAGAGAAAGAAGATAAGATACTTGAACAGCTACTACTAAGTGATGAGAAGCAATGTGCTGAACACATTATGCTTGTAGATTTGGGTCGTAATGATGTTGGAAAGGTTAATATTATTTTAGTAATATTGAATTATGTGATAATTGAATTTATCATTATGTTCCCTGTTAGGCTGTCTAAATGAAATTGTCATATTTAGCTTGTTTACTGCGTCAAATTGCTGGTTGTTTTCTTAAATGCATTTCTTATTTTGAGTGTTGTTGTTTATGCCCAATGCATATTATACTATCCATTTGGTACTCGTGGTATCCATGATGATGCCTGGCAGTTTGCTTTTGATTGACAGTGGCCTCTAATAAAATGAGTGTGGTGAAAAAGAAGTTAATCATTCCATCCACTGACGTGAAAAGGAGAAAACTTCTGAGTTGAATGATGCGTGTAAAGATGATGAGGTGTTTAATGGTAAAAGATGGAAAAAATGAAGCAACATTTAAGTATAATAGAGGTCACCCTCAAGCATATTTATGCAAATGCAATACAGTAGATCATTGTTTCAATATATAATTGAACGTGCAGGTGATCGAATGAGAAAGGCTATAAAAAAAAAGATCAGGGATATGCCATTAATAAACATTTGTTGAATGAAAGGGAAAAAGTATATTTAGAAAATCACACACCAGGCCGAGAAATCATGGTATTCTTATATGATAATCTATTTCTCTCTTTTTTTTTTAATTAACTTAAGACAGGTTTATCATTGAATTTTGTGGAGATGTATGTATCAGCTAGCCACACTGGGCTATATCCATGTGCTTGTAATATTCTTTCAAGAATTGCTTCATAAGTTTTTAATAGTTTTTGGACTTGTCATCTGTTGAATATAAGCTTATAGAAAGCAAAATTTTGGGTGTTGGAGTGTGCCGTTGGTGTGCACAATTGAAAGTATAAGAGTATCATAAAGGTGGGAGTAGATTAATGTGAAAGCCATAGTACAGATAAAGGAATGCAAAAAATAATTTGCATAGAAATTGTTAATACACTCGACCGAGTGGAGAGAAAGAAGACAATTTGCAAAGCTAACCTCATATTGGAAATCACAATGATGATGTGGATAATTTGAATTAAATTATGTCTAGAAAACAATAATGTTATGCAAACTCATAAGGTTTATTTTCCTAAATGGCTATTTTTGCTCATTTTTATGATAGATTTGTTGGTTTCCTACTTTCATGCCATTTAATTCTTGCTACAGGTCTCAAAGTCAGGTACTGTAAATGTGGAGAAGCTAATGAATGTTGAAAGATACTCTCATGTGATGCATATTAGCTCCACGGTTTGACCCTTGCCATTTAAGAGCAAATTTTATTAAGTGCTGGATTGATAATTAAATTGGAATTTTCAATGTTAATGGAGTTGAAGTTGAATATTTGTTGTGGCTGCATTATTGACTATATATTAGTTTGGGTTGATGGCATGCTGGTTTCTACAGTTTTAGTTTGTCTAATTGTGAATTTACTTCAATAGCTTTCAAGTATCACTATTTATCTTTTTTTAGTATTGACATTAATGAGTTTGTTGTACGTTTTAAAATATATGCCCACAGATTACTTACGGAGCAGGTGTGTTCCTGAACAAGAAACATTAACATCTTGAGATGCAAAAGAACTGATCGATTGGAAAATCTTTAGGATTGTCTATTTGGTCATTGATTCCTTCCCTCTCTAATTCTAATCTATCTGTTTGGATGACTACAGGAACAAGAATTGGTAGCATCTATGCATGAACCCAATATGTGAATGGCAACCCCTAGGATGTTACGACAACAACAACAACATCAAGTCTTTGTCCCACTACGTGGAGTCGGCTGCATGAATCATTTTTTGTCATTGTGTCCTGTTAAAAATCAAATTCTCATTTAAATCTAATAAAGAAAGATCATTTCTAATATTTTCTAACCAACCTTTTTAGGTCTACCTCTACCTTTATTAACATAAGTCAAATTTGATACCTGAACTTTCCTAACAGGGTCATCGGAAGGCCTCCGTTTAATGCGGTCAAGCCATCTAAGATGACTATCTCTAATCTTATCTTCCCCCAGGATGTTGAGAGATTAATATTACTGTCTTTTGGAGAAGAAAAAAAATCTAATTTATTCATCCTCCTGTGTAACATTTCAAGATTAATGATTTGCACTTCTAAGGACAAACTAATTGATGCACAAACCAACTATTTCCTACTGGCAGCTGGTTTAAGAGAGCATATATGATTTTTAAACCTTCAATTAGTGGGAGCTCACTGCGAACGCACATGTTCCTGATTTTCATATGTTCAGAATCATAAATGCTGCATTTATGCTGCATTTATTTTTTTTGCTTAACATTTACTGGCTCAATGATGAAGGGGAATGGGGATTCTGCATGCATTTAAATCCACTGTCGACCATATTTTTAATGCTTGTTTATTTTGTTGCGCATCTTTTAAATTTATGCCACGTTATACTATCCTTCTCCTGCATTAGTAGTGGGGTTATCCAAAGCTAGGATTAATTTCCTGATTTTTGGTTGGTCTCTGCAGGTTACTGGGGAGCTGTTTGAAAATCTCACATGCTGGGATGCTTTGCGTGCTGCATTGCCTGTAGGAACAGTCAGTGGAGCTCCTAAGGTTTGCTTTAACACGGCATATTGTCATGGGTTTTTACATTTTGATTTGACAGACTTCAGAATCATTAATGCTGCAATAAAAATCTCATTTTTGATACGGAAAAGTACTTTTTTTGCAACTCATTATAACATTCATTAACATCATCTTCATCCAGCAACCCTGATGGAGCCCACAATTTATTATTTGTAGGTAATACTTACCATAGATGCATTTGGTGTCATTACAGAATTTTGTGATGTCTCTTTTGTAATCACCTTCTAGTTTGACCCACCTTTATATTTCGCGATTAGCCAACTTTTATGGATGTCAAAGTACATGCTTTAGACTACTTGAACGTAATCAATTATGAACTCAACAGTCTCTTAACATCCTTAAATTTATTTTATGTATATTGTTGAATACAATTTGTGTGCGGGTGATACCAGAATCTTACTAATAAGATTACAAAACAAGCCTAATAGAGAGAGGGGAGAGAAAGAGTGAACTAGCGAAAGAAGCTTTGGGATTTTGCTATAAGTTATTGTGATTTAAAGTAGTTAGAACATGATTGAATATTGTTGAATGTATCTAACTCGTTATTTACCCCTATTAATATAAGCACAACTATATAGCAATGCTTTCTGTGAAAATATGTTTCAAGATTTTTTTTTTTGTTTAATTTAAATGTATGTATAACTGCTGACATGTCCAAACGTTTAGGGCAGGATTATTTGAGGAAAAGCGTCCTTTAGAGAACTCTCTATCGAGTTCCATAGTGAGATCCCATAATGAGAGCAAAGGAAAGTTCATTCTGAATGAATGAGTAGGCTTAGGCTACTTATTAACTCAAGTTGACAAGTTCATTGTCGAGTTGATCCTTCCTTCTAACGACTTTAGCCACGTGACTTGTTGATTTAGATGAGTTAAATCGAATACTTCCTTGGGTGACTAAAAATTCTTAGCCAGTTGGTTCATGTGTTTCAACTGTGTTTGGCAAGTCGTTGAATCGGATTCATAATGGTGAATTGACTCGATTAACTCAACCCAAATGGCATTAATCATACAAGCAGCTACCCTATTACCTGCGGTTTGCTGATGATAAATAGTTAGATAGTTAGTACTGGCGTTTCTAGGAATTTAGAGCCGGAACTCAAATATATTAAATATAAAAAAAAAACTATCCTGGTCACCGAAAAGAATAGCTTGATTGAATACAATTTGAACCTTAACGTTAGCCAAAGCAAAAGATAGAACATTCTCATAAAATAAGAAAGAGAAACAGATTAACATTCTTGATTAGGATAAAGAAAAGGTGGAGGGGCATACTCCAACCGCAACTACTTCAGTTTTTGGATGGTTAGACCAATTAAGACAACAAACTCACACACACATCACATACTTAAAACTAAAATCTAATATCTCTTGGTTGGTAAGTCAAAACTTTCAAGCAACAGACTAAGAAAACTTCCTATCACTACAGGTAAGAGCCATGGAGTTGATTGATGAACTGGAGGTCACAAGACGAGGGCCATACAGTGGAGGATTTGGAGGAATATCATTCACTGGTGACATGGACATTGCGCTTGCTCTCAGGACCATCGTCTTTCCAACCGGATCCCGTTACAACACAATGTACTCCTACAAAAACCATGATCGGCGACAAGAATGGATAGCACACTTTCAGGCCGGTGCCGGCATTGTTGCAGATAGCGATCCAGATGACGAACAACGTGAGTGCGAGAATAAAGCTGCTGCCCTCGCTCGTGCCATTGATATAGCTGAGTCTACTTTTGTGGATGGGGAAGATTAGCTCTGTTTTATAGGCCACTTACTGTGTTTCTCAGATCACATTTGGAAGCACTTGCTGAGCAGGAGCCGCTATGTTAGCTTGTTATCGCTATTCAAATTCTGCAGCATTGAAGCTTGTTTAAGAGATCTAATAATATGCGCTTAGGTGAAGGAGTTGCTTCTTCTGGACTTGTGTTATTTATCTGCTAGGATGATTTTGAGCTTCCAGTTTGGATGATTTTTCCTGTTTTTCTTCAAATAAAAAGCATGTTTGTAGTGATTAATTGCAAACCGACAAAGTGAGGGACTAAAGGGGATGAAAAAAGAGAGGCTTTTTTACTGTAGATTTTTTATTTTTCTCCTGCCTTGTTTTCCAGTAATTGATTCTATTATCTGTGTTTGGTTTGACGGAAAATGAGAAGAAATGTAAACAGAAATGATAAAAAAAAAAAGTTTTGTTGAAATTTTGGTTGAGGATTGGTTACTTTATCTTTTGTCAGATTGATGAGAACTCGTGTAGAGAGATTATTACTTGCGTAGTTTGGACATAGAAAACCATTCAGTTTTGTGATTGTAAACAGTAAAAACATAGTTATTGTTTATCATTGTGCTTTTATTGTTCATTATGCGCTTTTATTCTATTTTTATTGATCACAATCATAAAAACAAACAGTTCTGTGTCTGAACTCTGCGCGTAATAATCACTCTGTGTATTTAACCCTTCAGTCTGTACTGGTTGGATGTGTAAGGAGAGCCACATAAACACACAAAGTATACGTTGAATTAAAAATAAAAGGGTTCCTTACCTATGGAATTTTGCAGGAAACTATAGCTAGCAGAAGAGTATAGCATTTTTTTTTAATTTCTTGTGTTGTTTTTGAAAGCAATTTTTAAATTAAAAAATTAAATACTAAAAACTACTTCAAGAACATAAAAAAATCATCACAAATAAAGTTTTTGACAACTCATGTAGGAAAAATTAGTCAGGTTTAAAAAAATATTATTAAAATTTTGGTGCAGTAATTTTTTTTTAAAGTTGTCACACTATAAGACCTCAATGCATGCAAATAAAGAATGTAGTGTACTCTTACAACAGTCTCTACAAGATCGGGTGCATCATACCTGCTAATGGGTCTTCTACAAACACTTCCAGGAGGTCGTAGTGGATACAACGGGTCCCTACAAACAAACACAAGCCACTTGTGGATAACAACTCGTAGGTACACTGTGGGCACAAGTACAGATATCACTCAAGTATATACATTCGAAC